TTGACCACTTAATGTAAATGCTTTCAAAACACCAAAGACCTCACTCTGTAGTCTGTATATGTCATGAATGTTGTGTAGAATACATTTGCATTATACATGGCATTTTGTACTATGATTTTAACTTGATAAAAAATAAGAATTCACAATTCGTCTGTGGAAAACAGTTTTTAATCATGTGAGTTTCACCTAATTAGTTCATGTACAATAGATGCTCACTCACATGCTTTGCATTTTCTGAAGTCTGGCATCCAATTGTCAGCATATCCTGAGTTTTTAATGACATGCGACATGAATTATTTGCATTCATATGCGGATGTCCATGTGCCAACATCAACAGATGCTCCCTGGCTGCTATGATCCTTAAATTCTCTAATGAGCAACAGAAAATACTTGCCTTTGATGCGCATTCAATAAATAACTAGAATCAGTGGATCTTGATTTAACATTTGGCAATGAGGCATAGGCATGGCAAAACAAAATGTTTGTGCATGTGTCACAAATAAGACTTCATGACAAACACATCAATGAAATGAAATGACTGAAAAATCAGGTTTTTGCACATTTGTTTATGCTCCACAATATCACAAGCATTATTTCATCTGTGGAACATTTAAAATGTTTTTAAAATTGTCTTAATTTTATTTATTTATTTATTTATTTTTTATTTTTTGTCAATGTCAGTGGGGTCCAAAACAACACTGGACCCCACTGACACTGGCAAAAACATAAATGAAAACAAAAAAAATAAATCATTATTTTTAAAAATAAAAAAAACGTTTCACAGTTGAAAGTAAGTCATAGAGGTTTTGAGGGTGAATAATTGATGACAGGATTTCCATTTATGCCTTTATCGTAATATTTTACACAGAAAAATAATCTGGTTGAAATGATCTGATAGAAACATCAGAGGTCCATCACATTGTTCCAGTTTCAGTGGTTTGTCCGGCCTCAGAACAAATCTCTAAACCTATCCAACATGTGTCTTTGTTTTGCTAATATATCTATGTTTGGTTTTCAAATACTTCTGTAAAGCAGGACAATGCAGGTTCACATATGAATGACATCACAACTCATTTGTCATGCTAACACATACTTTATGTTTAATTTATTATAACATTGATTTCCTTTCATAATAAAATGAAACTTCCAGGCACATTTTCAATAATAATTAGCAACATTTTGAGTGTTAACGTTTTCTATATTTAATTTGACAATTCAGCTAGCCAAACATGCTTGTCTGACTTCCTGTAACTGTAAATTTAGATTTTTTTTTTTTGTTTGTTTGTTTGACATTTTTACAGCATAACAGATTTTATGAACTCAATTTTCCTTAAGTGACATCAAATTCGTCCACAAATCAGCCTACCCAGGCATTCCAAGTGATCGTTATGATCGTGTGCTATTTTAATCAAAACATTCCTGATATTTTTCCCTGGCAGCAACTCTGCCTAGTTCAACACTTCTCCTAGCATGTTGGCATAAAACATGCAATCCACACAGGCAGCTGCAGTGCAGTCAAGCAGTTTTGCATACCAGCACATATGGCCCAAGGGGGAGAGAGGGAGAGGGAGGGAGAGGGGTCATAAATGAGAATTAACCCATTCCATGGAATTCCATACTGTATTCATTCATGTGGATTAAGGATCTCATAAGTCAAATACAAGAGAATAGTTTTTGGTGTGTCTTATCTGGTCTGATTACCTTCAAGTGTTGTTGGGGAAACTGTTGTGTTATAATTTATAACATTATAACAACAAGGCCATTAATTTAATTTAATTTAAACACTTTGGTAACCAATTTCAGACATTTAGTCTTACTTTATTTAGAATTATTTTTTGTTCAAATAATGTGAAAATGCTTCACTAAAAGTATGTTATTTGGTTAGATACTATATACAGTGGGTA